GCATGTGTGAGTGAGTTGAGTTCCCTTTGAGTTTCATCTTTAGAGGCTTTGTTGGTAAGGAATCTGGTTCTTTGGGTTGAAGGAAGAATTATGAGGTGGCCCATGATGTGATGACACTGTATTGTCTGCTTTGGGCACAGACTACGTGAGTTCCATACCCCAGCAGTTGGGGCAGGCCTCCAGGGGCAGCTACCAGAGTTGGAAATGGGCCTGACATGGGTGCCTATGTTATGGGACCACTGCAAGGAAATCTCACACAACCCTTGCCCCAAATCCCCACACTGTGGGCACTGGATGCTCTTTCCTTTCAGGGGATTTTGATGTCGGGGTGAAATACAGCCCACCTCTTTCCAGTAAGACATTTCAGAGTAGGGAAGGGTGGAGGGGGGCATTTTGATAGACATGTCAGCTATCTGAGCTGGAGGCACACCGGGCTGTGTGAAGGGTGGTTGGTGGCTGCAGGAGGGGGATATTACAAGACAGCCCACTGTCACTGGCTCGCCAGCCAGCACCCCAGTTTTCGTATGTCTTCCATTCAAGAACTGTGTGCAATGGGACCAGAGTCCTTAATTGTCAAAGCAGCATCCTCATTAAACATCAAATCGTCCCAGGCAATTCAAAGATTCAGCGAGTCTCACTGGCCTTACGGAAGACATACAGCCTGGTCCCTACTCTTAGAAAGACCTAAGATCTTCTGGGGAAAGACAGGCCAGAGATCTACAATACAGTGACATGCTACAGCTGAGGGATGCAGCTTGGAATCAGGATCGTGGCGCCTAGCAACAGTGTGGGTATTATAGGTGAGGGTCAGCTCCACCAGAGGCTTGGCAGGGGTTAAGAGGGTATGTGTGATCTTTTGTATTGACACAGACTTGGCTGTGCTGCCTGTTGGCTCATGACCTTGGGCGAGTGCCTCAACCTTTTGAAGCCTTGGTTTCCTCATCTGTAGAATGGGGCTGGTAACTGTAATTGCCTGGCATGCCTGTGGTGAGAGTGAAATGAGAGGAGCCTCGTGACACATTGCCTTCTGTCATTATGATTTTGAAATTGGCTGAGTGAGGTCAGGGTACAGGGCCTTCCATGCTGCTCCCCGCAGTTCTGGCTTTTTCCTGCTCCTTGGTGAGCCCCAGTGTATTTAGTGGAACACACCACATGACCTTCTCTGAGCCAGAGGCAGCAAGTCAGCCCTGCCAGGGTTACGTGTACCTTGGGCGGGAACAGTCTTATGTGACTCCACTGCCCCTCTGTGCTCACCGCTCCTAGCCACAGTGGGCTCCTTGTTGCTCCTCAAACCTGGCATCGTGTGCCTGTCTTGCTGTCGCCTGCACCTGGAATACCCACTTCCTTCAGGCCTGCTTAGTGTCCCCTGATCCTGGTAAGCTCAGCTCTGCAGGTCACTTCCATCTTTTGCTTTCTTTTGCTGTCACCCTCATTATCCCCAATGATAACATGTACATATTTTTCTGCTTGTCCATATCTCTCCTAGGATGGTACGTGCCAGGCAGGCCAGGAGTCTGTCTTGTTCACAGCTAAATATCCCAGCATCTAGAAGGGTATGTGGCCCATAGTAGGTGCTCAGTAAATACTTACTGAAGGAATGGATGGTGACTTGGCACTCATAGCACAGTGATTATGGCGCCAGCCACATTCACTGAGGATGGTGGGTTTGAAACCTGCCTGGACCAGCTAAACAACAATAACAACTGCAACAAAAAATAGCTGAGCATTGTGGCAGGCACCTGTAGTCCCAACTACTTGGGAGGCTGAGGCAAGAGAATTACTTAAGCCCAAGAGTTGGGGGTTGCTGTAAGCTATGATGGAACAGCACTCTACTGAGGGCGACATAGTGAGACTCTTGTCAAAAAATAAATGAAGGGAGGAAGAGATGAAGTTTGGAGTAGGTGGTGCTTCTAAACACTCGCTGTTAGAGCACCCTGTCTGTGAAGTCATAAGTCTTCCTTTTTTTGGCTTCGACTTTGGGTCATACCCTAAGCAGGGTACCTGCAGGGCAACCAGGAAGCAGCAAAGGGCCCAAGTGGAGGCCCTGTTCCCAGCTTTTGGTCCCCACGTGGCAGGACTGTTTAAAAACCCAAGAGCTGCTTGCCCCTTATGGCCTTGCTCTCTACCTCCAAGGGACCTTCCCCCAGCTGCAGGCCTCCCTTTTACCCCCCACCCATGGAGTTAGCTTAGGGGGGAGTTTTGTTGTCCCTTTGTACCCTTTGTGCAGAGAGAGCCTTTTGAGCACGAGTGTCTGTCTGTTTGTCTGCCTGCCTGCCTGCCTCTGGGTGTGAAAAGACAGTGTGAGTGAATGTGAGTGAGCGTTTTCACGGAGGAAGGCTGTGGGTGGGTGTGCTTGTGTTTATGGAGCAGGCGGCCAGGGAGAAGGATGCAGAGTGAGTGTGTGTGTGTGTGTTAGTATGTGTGTGTACACGCGCGCATGGGGAGAGGATACCAGAGGACAGTGGGCTCCTTCCCCTGAGGCTCTGAGTGTACCTCTTGAGGACCCAGGGTATCATGCTCCTACTCTGGTCCTCTGGATTCTGCTGCACAGAAGCTGCAAATTCCAGGAAACTCCCTACCAGCCTGTGGTGGGGGAGGGAGTAGAGGCTAATCCACACTAGTTCCCTGGCACATGGAGCAGATGTGTCTGCCTCAGGGACAGCAGCCTAGGAAAGTTCAATCCTAAAGTGTGTTTGCTCCCTATAAAGAGACATCAGTGAGGGGGCCTTGGAGGGGAGGCTTGGGGGCTTGCTCTGCCAGAGGTCCTTACTGGGGGCCCACAGAGGCCATTGTATCTTACGGGGGGAGGCCAGAGCTCAGGGCGTGGGAGCTGCTGGGTCATCTCTCCCTGGCATTTTACAGCCAGCTCCCAAATGCAGTTGCTTGCTGCTCCTGAGAGGCTGGGCCAGAAGGAGGTGGGGGCCCTTCCCGAGGGAGGGCTGGATTGAAGGGGCCCCGCCCCGGGGGTTCCCGGATGACTAGCCAAGGGCTCACTGAAGCCACAGCGAGGGGAGAGGAGCAGGCGTGGTCCTCTCTAGCAGGCCATCCGGCTGTTTAGAAGGCCCTGGCGGCCCCCCAGGCCCTTCAGCCGAACCCCCTTTGCGGTGCGAACCCTGGCCCGCCCTGCCCCCTTCCTTCTCCACACTTCTGGGGCTGGCCTTTTCAGCTCTGGAAGCTACCCAAGTGCATATCTTTGAAGCACAGCAAAGGTTAGGAAGGAGGAAGACAGAAATGTCCTCTGGGCTGGGGGAGTGGGAGAAAGGAATTCCATGCATGCTCCACGGGAGTCAGGGCAGGCCTGGGGGGCGGTCAGCTTGGCGAGGCCCCGCAAGTCCTGCCACCTCGTTCTGGCCGCCTGGTACCGCATGGAGTGAGGCCTCTTCCCCAAGCTGCAGACAGGGAGCAAGGAGCAGGGCCCTTATTTACAGTGCATTTCAACCTTGGCTCACAAGGGTAAGAGCCAGGCCCTGCCATCCGCCTCACAGGATGCGAGACCTCGTAATTGTCTTCAATTACAGACAGTGCGGGCCCCTAGCCCTAGCTTCCGACAGGAACCAGAGTCCAGGCCACTTCCACAAGGCAAAGGGCATACCACCCAGCCCTCTCTTCAAGGTTTGGTGACCTCTGGGGCACCTCCAAATGCCCACTGGCCCCAGAGGCCACCCAAAAGGCTGTCTTGGACCTGATGAGAGCCGGTCCCCGTTGAACGCCCGCCTTCTTTGTCCCTGCTCAGGATGAGACTTCTGTGAGCAGTGAAGATTTTGATATGAACGACTCCACATGGATGTCAGCTGACCCACACCTGGCCTCTAGCCTGAGCCCCAGCCAGGACGAGAGGATGCGGAGCCCGCAGAACCTCCACAGCCAAGAGGATGGTGAGTACCCGGGTGGCCGGAGAGGGCGGGGCTCTGCTCAGTTCCTAGTTGTCCTGAGGCAGCAGAGATGTGGGCAAACCCAGGGTGGAAGAATCTGGGCCATGGCCTCTGGAGGTGGCCCAGCCTAAGCTTGCAGCTGCCCCTGGTGTTCTCAGCATCTGCCCCAGCCCCTGGTAGAGCCCCTGGGAACTGACATCCCAAGGGGGTATCATGCCTGTTTGTCTGCCTCGATGCTTATGGGCTTCTGGGGTGTGGATTTCAAAGTTACCATGGTTCAGGTCTGGGAAGGTTAACGACACGCCTGACCCAGAACAGCTCAGCCGCCCAGCAATGAAAACAAGAGCTGTGTTTCCACAGCTTAGTGTGAGGCTGTAGGATGGGGTCACCTGGTGAGTGACAACCGTGCAGCTGTCCACATGTACCCCTGGCCCCCGGACCGGCCATGCAGCCCCTCCCTTTGGGGCTTCCTTCTGAAAGGTAGAGAAAAGGATCAGAAGTCAGACCCCAGAGGTCCATCCACTCGAGCTCCCATGTGGATCCCTGGGCAGTTGGGCTCCAGGGCCCTGGCATCTGCCTCTGGTGACAGGGTTATAGGTGGAGGGATAGCCTGCGTGCGGGGTTCTTATTTCCAGGGAGGAGGTGATTGGGGGTGAGAGATAAGCTGGGCCTCAGAGAACTGGGGTGAAGGAGCTGTAATTAGGAGGGGGTTGAAGGTCGGGGCCTGGAATGTGGGAGGGATGTGTGGGGTTAAAAGGGGGTGTAATGTTAACTCTGTGAAACTACAGCCTTAAAGAGTAAATAAGGGGTAGGAGCCTTGCCGTTTGGGTCAAAGTTCATCTCCATGGTAGAACCCGCGCCTGCCTAACAACTGCCCTCCCAGGCCTGAATCCGGCTTTGTCTGGAAGGAGACCCAGCCCAAGCAGCTGGAGGTGTCTGGGCCAGGGGCTGGGGAGCCCAGGGAGTGGCTGTGTGTGGAGTGGGGTGCGAGGCTGCAGGAAAGAAAGGGCTTTTGTGCCTGATGCCTCGTGAGGTCAGTGCGACCCCCTCGTGCTGCCAGCCTCCCAGACCAGTGCCGCCTTCCAGTGTTCCCACGGTGGCGGGGACCGGGTAGGGCAGCCACATGCCATGGGGGGCTCTGAGGCAGAGACATGCCCAGCAGCTGACCTCCTGCCTCGCCTAAGCTAATTGAGTCCATACCCAAAGGCACGCCAAGGGCCACGCCAGCACCACTCAGCCAGGGGGCCCATCTGCCACATGTCCTTGGGAAAGATCCAGGACTGAAGGGGGCCGTGGTCCCCCTGCTTTCTCCTGCCTCCAACAGGCCTTCTTGTGTTGCTGTTCTTTACAACCACCCTCTGAGAGTGTGATCTGTGTCAGACATACTTCCTGGGGAGGATTGGATATTCAAGGGCTTTTTTTTTTTTTTTTTTGCAGTTTTGTCCAGGGCTGGGTTTGAACCTGCCACCTCTGGCATATGGGGCCGGCGCCCTAATCCTTTGAGCCACAGGTGCTGCCTGATTCGAGGGCTTTTAGCATCAAGCAGCAAAAGGTGTTTCTGTGGGTGCCAGGGTCTTCCTGGGCATCTGCTGCCCCACTGCCCAGAGGTCAGCCCATCCTGGTGGGTTTGGTAGGTTTTGTGCATGGTCTGTAGGAGGCCAGTGCAGGGGCAGCTGGGGGTAGGGGAGTTCATGTACCCCCTGACCCCTGGCCCCTTCTGGCCAGGGCTGAGCTGAGGCAGACTGGCCTTCTGAGAGGACAGGGTGTTTCTCAAGGTGGGCAGCCGTGCTGGGATGCGCAGGCCAGTGATGCCTGGATCTGACTGTCACTCAGGCTATGTCTGGGGGCCATGGGCCTCTGTGCAGGCAGGCTGAAACTCCTGGGAGGTGCAGAGCTTGAAGAGGCCCAGGTGCTGGTCTTGGCTCTGCTGTACTTTCCGGGTCCTCTGGTCTGTGGATAACCACTATTTCTGTTTAGAGTGGTAGGCTCCCAGAAGGTTTTGGCTGGGTCTAGACAGGCCTGGAGTCTTCAGCCTCATGTGCCTCTCTCCCCATGGCAACACACAGCCAGCTCTTCTTGGAAGGTACCCATGGTGCAGCAGGCCACAGCAGTACACCAAGGGGAGATGTCAGGGTGCTCTCAGGGCCCCTGTTTTTCTTGTTGTTGTTTGTTTTGAGACAGAGCTGTCTTGTCACCCTAGGTAGAGTGCCGTGGTGTCACAGCAACCTCAAACTCTTGGGCTCAAGCAATTCTTTTGCCTCAGCCTCCCAAATAGCTGGGACTACAGGTGCCTGCTACAACACCAGCTACTTTTAGAGACGGGGTCTTGCTCTGGCTCAGGCTGGTCTCAAACCTATGAGCTCAGGGCAATCCACCTGCCTTGGCTTCCAAAGTGGCAGGATCACAGGTGTTAGCTGCCATGCCCAGCCTCAGGGCCCCCGTTAATGCAGGTCAGGGGCAGGCCATGCAGGGAATCTAGGGGCCCCCATCCAACTACAGCCCTCCATATTCTCTGCTTGGAGGTCTCTATTCCCAAGCCTCCCCAACCCCACCATTGCCCAGATGGGCTTGGTGTGTAGCCTCTGTCCCTCAGTCCTTTGTGGACATAGCAAGTTAGATAAACATCTGAGGCCCCCACTGGGAGCTCTATGAGGTATGCCATGTCAGTCTCGGTCCCTGCCATGTCCGCATGACACAAGTTTTGTGGGTGGCTTGTTGTAGGGGCCTGCTGAATGTTGTCTGAGTGAATTGATAAACCAACATTTATTGAGACCTACTCTAAGCATACCTCCCAGAGAGAAGGTGTGGGTCTGCCCCTGTGGGGGACAAGTTGTATTCTTTGTTCCTGAGGACATTTCCCCAATCGGAGCACATGGGTCTTTTCCCTTAGCTAGAAGTATGGGAACTCCATAGCTGTGCCACTGGGACATCCACCCTTCCTCACCAGCCCAGAAGTGGTTTGAAGAAGCCAGGCAGTTTATACAAATTTATCCTGTTGGTGGGCTTGTTGGGGCCCTTCTTTTTTATGAAATTTTAACAAAGGCAGATGAAGGCTGGGCCTTGGCAGGGCACTTCCCATGGCTAAGACCACTGAGCCCAAGAGTGAATTGTGAGTGTGCCACCCTTCACTCCCCAATTTACCTCTGAGGTTTGACCAGTGCTGGGTGTCTGCTTATTCCAAGACAGTTACACTTTTGCCCCAATCCTGCCACAGTCTGTGAGTCTTCCTTTCTCAGAGCTCTTTACAGTTTCCTACACCCATCACTGAAGCTCTGGTCCTGGGTCCTTATGGTATAGCTACTGCCACTTGGCAGGGAGCACCACCCACATGTGCTCACATCTCATAGGGGAGGAAACAGGAGAGACTTTGGGTGACGCAGCCCAAGGATAGGGGGGTTGCTGGGGAGAATGCCAGTCCTTTTCCCCCTCCACTTTAGCAGGTACATAGGAGGCAGTGAGTGAGGGTCCTCAGAAGATGGGCAGGGAGCTGGGAAACCAGAGGAGGCTGCCTCACTCCAAGCACTGTCTCATTGGGGCCCAGAATGAGGTGCGGGCCATTTCGTGCCACCACTTCCTCCACATGCACCAACCAGATCCCCTCCAGACCCCCTGCTAAGCCCTGGCTGAAGCTTTGGGCTTTCTTTGGGATCTGAATAGGGCTTTGTGCACATTATAGGGTGCGGAGAAAGGATACCTGGGAGAAGCCAGCTCTTAAGACTTTGTTCTGAGACACTATGGTCTGGCGTTGCCCTGGGGCTGAACAGCGCCTAATCACACCCTCATCCATGGGATCACCTGTGTGGTGTCAGTCTCTACCCCTTGTACCGTGATCACCCAGCACCTAGCACAGGGAACAGACGAGTGGATGAAAAGGTGAGTGAACGCGTGTACACATGCTTCCTGAAGGCCAGGTGCAGGGCTGGACCAGGACCTGATCCCACAGGTGGCTGCTCCTTCCATTTCCCCCTTGTTGAGCTTCACCAGGCCCATTACTCTGCCCCTTCCTGAACGGAAAATGTGAGGCCTGGCCTCCAGAAGGGATGGCGAGGGGGCAGGGAGCGGACATTACTCACCTCCCAGGCAGACAGGAAGTCAGCACGAGGGGAGAGCGCAGGGTCTGCTGCTCTGGGACCAGCTTCCGCCTTGCCTTCCGCAGGATGGGGTCTTGGGTGTTGCTGGGCGGGAGCTCTGTGTGTGTGTGTGTGTGTGTGTGCGCGCCTCTCAAATGAGGCTGCTCCTCTAGCCTAGGCCTCTGGACCCCTGGACCCCCCCAGACCTCGGAGTGTTCCTCTGTCCAGGCTCTGAGGCTGGGCAGAGGTGTTGAGGGTCCTGCGGCTCCTCCAGGGCTTGTTCTCAGGGTAGCCGAGTGCAGGCTGAGTGCCGTGGCCATGGCCTGGGGGGTTGATGCTCCCACCACTTCCTCACCTTTGAGGAGGCAGGGAGTGTCCCTCTGTCCAGGCTCTGAAGCGTTAAGGTCCTGTAGCTCTTCCAGGGCTTGTTTTCAGGGTAGCTGAGTACATGCTGAGTGCCATGGCCTTGGGGGGGGGG